GTAGGCATAATTTTATTTTAAATAATAAATATACTTATATATCTACATATATACATATATGTATGACACTTGGGAATTAAAGTTCCAATACAATATAAAAATGTTAAGGGAGAATAAATTTTTATTATATTTTAACCCCTACTAGTATTTATTTTATAAACTTTTTATTATTAGTTTCATTATGTATATTTTTATGATTATATAAGTATGTGGGGAAAATAAAAATAATTATTTGAGAAAACAACAAAAATAAATGTCAAGAAGACAAAAAATTTGATACCTTTCTATGTCGTGTAAGTTATTATAGAAATAGAAACTATTAAATAAAATTAAAGAAATAAATTTCAAAATTATTATTACATATAAATAATTGGGTTTTGATATAGTTATAATATCACAATCTATCAATTCATTTCTATAGTTATTATTTAATTAAATTAAGTATTAAATGAATTATCTCTAAATTTTAAATTAAGTGCACTAAAAGTGTTTAACCCCCTTTTTTTAATTAATTTTTTACTATAAAAAATAATATATATGTATATATTTATATACATTTTTTATCAATTAAACTAATATCTAATAATTTTACAAATTGATCAATATAAATATACGGGCATTTTTCTCTAAAAACAATGCTTTATTAAATTCAGTCTATTCACATTAAAAAAATTAAATATATACATATATATATATATATGTACGTATCCATAATGATATTTAAAAAAAAAAAAAGCTATGTAAAAGAAAAAAAGAAAAGGAAAAAACACGTGGTCTCCTGTTAGTCAAACATTTCCTCGGTCAACGGCTGAAGAAAACGACAGCCACCAGATTTTGACACGTGGATTTGACGGACGAATTACAACCGCTGATACATTTATTGATAAGTGCGATGGATGACTTTTATGAGAGTCATGAAGTAAAAGGAGGAGGAGGAGATGGCGCTTTCAGTAGCAAGTTTTCACCTGAAATCAATAAATACAGTCTCCTATACCATGCAGTATACACTCTTAAATTACATGGATGGGGGTTTAAAAGTATCTATATACAACAACTATATTTATACATGCACACACCTATATATACATATATACACACAGGTAATAAGATTTGTAGGGTAGAGCTAAACTACCAGAGATATGGCTTGTCACCAGAATCACAATATAAGAACTAGTACTTCTAGCTTCCCACCTA